AGCAATATGTTGTTTGACAGAAGCACTGAGCCATTCTTTCCATAGCAGAATCAATACACATCTCCTTTTATGAGTCGTTTTGGTTTTTTAGAAATCTTTGCTTCATCCCAATGCCAATCAGGAACCAGCTCTGTGACTTGTGAACACTAGAGTCTCACACCTGGTTGCAGATGGTGAGCAAGAGGAAAGTGCGATGTAGTAACACTGGATTCTTCAGACTTTCAACTTGTCATATGACATGGTCTGGAAGGATTGGCTGGGCGATGACCAATTTTTCTGATAATATGAATCATCAAGTATTCATTTTGATAGAAAAAGCAGATAGAAGGGAAAGCATCCCTCAGTGATGTTGGAATTGCTTGCTTCCTCAGCAACTGGCCAAAGTTCTCATTTCAATGGGAAACCACAACTCCAGGAAATGATCACGTGTCCCCTGGGGATCAGCACCTGGCCAAGGTATATAAAGGGCCCAGAGGGAGAGGAAGACATCACACCTGAGAACACCCAACTCCTCTCCACAGCCCACTCCAGACCAGCCCCAGACAACACCATGACCGGCTCCTGCTGCGGCTCCACCTGTGGGGACTGCTGCCAGCCCTGCTGCTGCCGCGACCCCTGCTGCTGCCGCCCCGTGTGCTGCCAGACCACCGTGTGCCGCCCCGTGACCTGTGTGCCCCGCTGCACGCGCCCCATCTGCGAGCCCTGCCGCCGCCCCATCTGCTGCGACCCCTGTGGCCTGCAGGAGGGCTGCTGCCGCCCCATCTACTGCTGCCCCACATCCTGCACTGCTGTGGTCTGCCGCCCCTGTTGCTGGGCCACCACCTGCTGCCAGCCTGTCACCGTGCAGTCCCCCTGCTGCCGCCCCCCCTGCTGCCAGCCTGCCCCATGCCGCACCACCTGCAGGACCTGTTGCTGCTAAGCACCCAACACAAAACATTCCCAGGTGTTGGGGAAAGTGCGAATTCTTCCTACTCCTCCTGGATCAGATGAGAGACTCCAGCTTTGCAACCCAGCTGTTCTTCAGCAACTAACTCAGCAGTCACTTCTATTTCCCACATAATTATGCAACTAATCCTGCCCCTCTGTGGCAATCTTTAGAAAAATTCCAGCTTTCATCATTTGAATTCCTGGCTTGAAGAAAATGAGTAAGCAGAGATCAAAGTTCCTCTTGGATGGAGCTTGTCCCACTGACTCATCATTATTTTTCTACTATTTCAAGGTTCTCAGAGGGGATTTTTTTTCCAGGATACCATTATTTTCAAGCTGTGTTTTTACATGGTAAAAAAATAAAATTTTGTATGTGGGGAAGCAAATACGTTTCTTTTTATTATTTATTAACCTTCAAAAGATCATTTTTATCTTAAATAACAGTGTGTTGAATCAGAAGAACCAAAGGAAGGAGTTTTGTAAGGACCATTTTTTGAGCTTTAGAATAGGAACAATTCAGATACAAGATCTGTAATTTTAATACCAATTCAAGTAATTCAGATCATCTCATGAGATGCACCTTCATATTTCAAGCCATGGGTTTTGTGGTGGTGTAGAGGAAATAGACTTCAGCAGGTCTCTCTGAATATGAACTTGACTGGTGAATAATCCACACGTATGATGAGGGGGGAGGAAGTCTAAGTTACATCCCCATTTGCTCCTCAGTGTAGAAAATTGTGTAGTGACTGATGTCAAGGAGTACGTGGGAATCCCTAACCACTGAATTCCCTGTGCTGGAAGAACCACTGTCCCATCTTC